TGTGTGTGTGTGTGTGTGTGTGTGTGTGTGTGTGTGTGTGTGTGTGTTCAGGACGAAAGCATGCCGCTGGTGTACGTCGCCGTGTTCATCGAGCACACCACTCCCTTCATGGAGGAGTTCTTGGACCGGCTGACGACGCTCAACTACCCGATGGCGAGGATCCGCCTCTTCGTCCACAACAACGTACGCCGCTCGCAGAACCCGAATGTATGTTCTGACCCGTTTGTGTGTTTGTTTCGGTTCCGCTCTCATCTGTTTGAATCCACCTGTGATCCAGGTTGTGTACCATGAGCGCCACATCCAGAAGTTCTGGGAGCGCCACAGAGATCTGTTCCCCGATGCCCTGCTGGTTGGACCGGAGGAGAACCTGCAGGAGAACAAGGCCAGAGCCATGGCTGTGTGAGTGGAGATGTTTTAGAACCTGAACACAACATCAGTTTATCTTCATAGAACATTAGAGATCCTTTTTATTAAACCAGTGCTGAAATGATGATTCGATTGACGAAGTATTAAACTCATTTCTCATGAATTTTGTGTATTTGTGATTAGCGAGGCGTGTAAGAAGGATCCAGAGTGTGATTACTACTTCAGCATCGACTCTGACGTGGCCCTGACAAACCCTGACACACTGAGGATACTAATCGAAGAAAACAAGTATGTAATCTCCTGTATACCCTAAAGAGTCCATTCTGCTACCTTACACACCAACAAGTCCACACTATTACCCTTCTATATACCCTACACACCAACAAGTCCACACTAGCACCCTTCTATATACCCTACACCCCAACAAGTCCACACTAGCACCCTTCTATATACCCTACACCCCAACAAGTCCACACTAGCACCCTTCTATATACCCTACACACCAACAAGTCCACACTAGGACCCTTCTATATACCCTACACCCCAAAAGTCCACACTAGCACCCTTCTATATACCCTACACCCCAACAAGTCCATACTAGCACCCTTCTATATACCCTACATTCCACAACCTAATAACTACACATTAGATCCTTTCTATATAGACTACATCCCAACAAGTACACTCTAGAACCGTTTTTATACAGTAGATCCCAATAAGTACACACTAGTACTCTTTTATTCACCCTATACTCCAACTGGTACACTTTAGCACCCCTCTGTATAACCTACACTCCAACAAGTACAAAGTAGCACACTAGTATCTTACAGGTAGTAAAGAATAATCATGAGCTATATGCTACCTAATAGTTAATAGTACAGTTTAAATGAATGAAAACTTATCCTAAAGCTCAAGTCCCTCACCAATGTTCCTGCAGGATGTTGTCTGTTCCGATCACTGTAACATCAGCTCCAGATGTCCAGCACCACAATGTAAACAACAACAACACACCAGAACAGATGCTCTGTGTACACGTTTCAATATTTGGGCTTAAATTTAGGAAATTCTCTGTTTCTGTCTCAGGTCAGTTATCGCTCCCATGTTGTCCAGACACGGGAAGCTGTGGAGTAACTTCTGGGGCGCTCTGAGTCCTGAAGGGTTCTACTCCAGATCTGAAGACTACATCGAGATCGTCCAGGCCAAGAGGATGTGAGCACACACACACACACACTAGTTTAGTGGAGCAGTCTTCTCTCAGCACAGGTGAGGTGAATCCTGTTAACCCGTGGTTGTGTGTGTAGGGGTCTGTGGAACGTGCCGTACATCACTCAGGCCTACCTGATCAAAGGCAGCGTGTTGCGGTCCAAGCTGTCCCAGGTGAGCCTGTACGTGGAGGAGGGGATGGACCCCGACATGGTGTTCTGCAGGAGCATCAGAGACCAGGTAACGCCTCCCAAACACCTGCTCACCTCACAACTACCAAGCGATCGCAGAGCCTTGTTGTAGCTCATTTCTGTGTCCACAGGGAGTCTTCATGTTCGTGTCCAACCGCGACGAGTTTGGTCGTCTGGTGGCGTCGGCCAACTTCAACACGTCCAGGCTTCACCCGGACATGTGGCAGATCTTCGACAACCCTGTGGTCAGAAAACATTTGAATAAGCACCATACATGAATACAAGCTGAATGACAGCATATGCTGAATGTGTGAGTATTTGCAGGACTGGAAGGAGAAGTACATCAGTGAAAACTACTCCAAGATCTTTGAGGATGAGAAGAACTTTGTGGAGCAGGTAACAAAAGATAAACAACATTCCAACCAACAGCTTGATGTATAATTTGACCTGAGTTCAAATCAATACAACCGGAAAATGAAAGTTTTCCCAATCATTTGAACCATCTTGTAGTTCATTAATGATCTCAACTCCACGTCTCTCTCTCAGCCCTGTCCAGATGTTTACTGGTTTCCAGCCTTCTCAGATAAGATGTGTGATCATCTGGTGGAGACCATGGAGCACAATGGCGAGTGGTCTGGAGGAAAACACAAGGTAACCTGTCTGACTGTGTATTGAACGGACGGGGAAAGTGATTTAGATTTGAAGATTTGTCTTTTCTGTGTGTTTAGGACGAGCGTCTGGCCGGTGGTTATGAAAATGTCCCAACTGTGGATATCCACATGAACCAGATCGAATTTGAGAAGGAGTGGCTTAAATTCCTCAAAGAGTACATCGCCCCCGTCACTGAAAAACTCTATCCTGGCTATTACCCTAAGGTACAGTACTACCCTGAGGTACAGGTCAGGTACTACCCTGAGGTACAGGTCA